TGGGTGCTTGTTACTGGTTGTCGTGACCGGGCAAACAGATTAGCGTCTGCGCGATGCGATTTATTTTAAGTCACTAAACTAATGGACTGGATACACAAGACAAATTCGCGTGCTTAAGCATAACCGCCTGTCTGACAGACTCGATTTCACCAAAGGTGAGGTAAGTTGATTCTTTTTCCATTCTACATGTTGAGCTTCGCATCATTTTTTCATCCGTTTAGCTATGTCTTCAGAAGTCTGATTCCGTACTTATCGCACGGTCGAGCGGTCGTTTATCAACTTATTCACTGGGTTGCTATTATTTGACAAACGCTGTTGTAGTCGGTTCGCGGCAGGATTGTTACGTACTTTTGTTTGTAAAAGGCTTAACACTTCAACTCTTCGCGCGCTTGGCAAACGGATTTTCCTTTGGAATTTAGTGACTGTGTTTATTTGCGTTGCACGAAGCTTGAAAATTCAGGCACTCTAAGAACGCGCTCATAGCTTTCTGATAGGGTCACGTCGCATTATAAATGGCTAATGAATTCGACTATTACCATCCATTTCAAAGTGCCACCTGCAGTAAATAAAATCTCACTCATATTTATAGCCCGGTCCTATCATAACGTGCAGGGTACTGCGTTTTTTCGATCACAAGTCCAATTAATGAATATTTTTCATAGCGAGACTATCTTGTGACTTAATAGCCGCAAGATTAATATGTAAGCAGTAAAGAAGTAAATTTCTTTGGAGGCAGTCCAAGAATTATACTGGCGTCATTTTTGCCTTTAGTTTTCTCTTAATCATTATTCCTACACTATTAATGTCTCCAGAAAACATCTGCAATTATTCGTGTCAGAATTTAAATAACGCTGTCATCTAACACTTTAAAAGCTTCAGTGCGTAACGTGACCTATCTTATGCTCTACTCTAGTATAATATAAGAAACTGTAGGGTGCTTTTGAAACTCTCAATTATGGAAAGTCTCGTTCTTAAAGATTTTTTTTTCCATTGAACAATTTCCAAGCCGATCGTCTAACTTTTACGAGTAAAGTGCGTTACCGTATCTCCACCGTGAACTGACGCATGTTTAAGGAAAGCGTGGAGCAGGTCCGGAGTGATGGGGGGGGGGTACTCCTGCAACATTTTAGTATAGGTGAGCCGCTGAGGATTTTAGGACTAAAAATTTCTAAAATACGTACCCTGTTTAGGACAACACCAGCCCTCAATTTTATTACCCTATTTAGGACAAGGGACAAACTAGCCTGCGAACAGCAGACACATTTCCGTCGCTTGAGAGAAGCGACGACCGGAAATGCGTCTGCTGTTCGCAGGCTAAGGACAAACTGCACGCCGTCTTGTTTTTAGGCCATTTATTGGTAATTGCTATAGAGCAAATTCACGTAAAAGTCATTGCTTTTGTATCCTTGGAGTTCAAACAAAATTCATCTAGCAAATCAAATCGTGCATACAGGCAATACCCTCGCACGAAATTGTGTACTCTGGTTAGGACAGACTCCAACGATATTAAGTGCACCGTTTAGGATAGAAAGCTCAAAAACCATAACCTGTCCAGAGGCATAGCCCCGTATAGACCATATAAGTCCCCCCCCCCCCCCCGAGAGCAGGTTGTTTACCTTCACGTTCGTCAGCCGGTTGAGAATTATAATCAGGTGACATTCTCATGAAGCTGGCCATTTTAGTGGTTTCCTTAACCCTTTCAGTGCCAAATGTGGCCAAAGGCAAGTTTCGACCAAATTTCCAAATTTCATTTTCCAAAATTGTGAGAAACAAATAGCACCATGTGTAAGTACAGGCAGAGAGCTTTCATTTGAATGGTCACATCATAAGATTTCGTCCACAGACTGAAAAGTTAGAGTCACCTTACAAAACTCCATCAAACAGTGGCAGTGAAAGGGTTAATCTTTTAAGTCCCAGTATCAGCATAAAAATTCTCCATACTGATCTCCATCCGTAGTAATAAAAGATCAAAACATTTTCTCTTCGACAATCATTTTGTTAAATCTCACCATCTGTTCTCTTGAGTATGTGTCGATATTGTTAAGAGAAAATTGGTTTTGGTGGCTGTCTTTTCTCACGAAACTCGAAGCTGAGGAAGTGGCCATATCGTCTGATATCGTATTTTGCGCGTAAGGATGTTGTCGTGAGTAAAGCTAAAACGCTGTGCAGCAAATAAGAGTTTACGGTTTTCTTTCTTTATCCCTAACTTGGATCTCATAAATTTAGTTACGCCAGTGATAAAAGCGTTTGAAAAAGAAAGTTAGAATTTTGTCCTTCCTCCAGACGGCTGAAAAAAGCGTTCTAAGATTTGCACGTCAAAATTCGTGATCCGGAAGTCCGAGAAACCTATAATCATAAAAGCTGAAACCCGAGTAAGTTTTTGTTAGTCAAATACGTTGCGTTGAACCGCAGACCTTTTTATCCTCCATAGTTACAAACCTCCAGGCCAAGTTCATGTTACGAAAAAGGGAATTAAAATCTCATGCATAAGTTTGCTGAGATCTTTGCAGCGTTTTCCCCTGTATGGTCGATCAACAGCCTATCAAGCTCAAATTCATGACATTTTCCCATTTCTTTCCTGGCTTAACTACAAATTTTAGCTTTCTTCCCATTGACTCGTTGCTATGGAAACCAACATTTCTTCAACCAGACAATTTGGCCTTTTTCCTCTCTCCGTTATCAGCAAAATTGATCGCTGATCCTTCAGTTCTTCGCCAAGTAACGGAACGCGTAAAAAATACATTAGATTATGAACATCAGATTATCTTGGAGTAAAAGTACAACGCAACAATTCGTATCTTTCCAAATCCTTCACCTAAATCTATGAGCGGAATATATTTGCACCGATCAAGTACATTGAATAAGAAGGAAGTTCAAGCGCTGTAGATTGAAGGTTACGTACTGCACGTCGCGCGTTTTCCGCAAAGACTTAGAAGTGTTATCCTTAGAGGAAATAACAAGTCCGAAATGTGCTAAAAATAATTCCACGAGTTTAAGTGTAATGTTGGGTGGATTGCACCTCAAGGAAAACGTCAGGAATTGCGTGAAGAAAGAGGTAGAAAATAAGTTTTATATATAATGGCCATGCGACTGATTTCATGGGGCAAAAGTTCAGCTGAGCGTCAGAAACCAAGAACTTAAAAAAAATTGCATCTTACCGCAATGAAAGCAGGAAATCCTTCAAGAAAGACGCAAGGCAATAATACTTCATCACAACTTGTATCGCCAAAGCCAGTCGAAAGCCGCGAACAATTTGCGCGATGCGCGAAAGGCGTGACGTGAATCACAAGAATTAAGCCCAAGGTGAGAACCGCGAGGGACTGGGAGACAGACAAAGCGGTAGTCGACTTGTCGGGCTCGCGCGGGTCACACTGGTTTTAGTTGTGACTGGTTTCTATTCGTGATGAGTCCGGGTCTAACGTGTCCCGAGTCCTCTCTGTTTGAATGACGGCGCTTCCCGTCTTAATATTAATAGGATACTGAGAGACGCGTGGGGACGAGTCAGAGTCAGGAACATTTTGGCATCAGTTTCGTTTTGCCGTTTACACGAAGAGGCGTGAATATAACTAAGAACTTCCAGGTTCAGCTTGCGAGTCCGGAAATGTAGAATACGGAATCGTAGGAAAAGACTTTGTATTGATGAGGAGTAAATGTTCTCGCATTAACTGATGTGTGTAAACAGCCAATCCGAATATCATAAGTGTGTTAAATCCAGAAACATTTGTGAATCTGGAAAAATGTTTCTCGTGTCAACGCTCGCCTTACGTACATTGAAAGGGGAAGAAGGAGGATATAATTGCCTTTCCTATTTTGCAAAGGCTATTGGAAAGGCAGATGTAGTTCATATGAAATTTATATGCGATGTCTAACGCGCAAGTATGATCGTTTTAAACTTATGGGGTCGGTTATTTAAACAAAGTCTAGCTTAGACCGCGGTTTGGGAAATCTTTGGACCTCCAGAACTCTTCATTTGTGAGTTATTTTAAGAAGACAAATGTTTTTTTCAGTCTACGCTATATGGTTTCATGAAACTCTCACGATAAATTGTGCTTACATTAAAGAACTCGGTAACCTGAAAATGGCTTAGAAAGAGGTTTTGTTGAACACTGGCTACGTTTACAATGTAAATAACTGGCCCATGGAATTTTACTCTTTAGAGTGTTGGTAAATATTTAAAAACATTATTCGATACTTCTAAAGAAAAGTAGCAGATGATGCTTATAGCCTGCCAAAGGAAGTTTACTTGCTTGCTATATATTCGCGGTATACATAAATGTTTGAGGCTTGTGTGGAGTCTAGAGATGACATTTTTAGATTTCAATGTTTTATGTTTCAAGACTGAAACAATAACTTGATGCACTTTTTATTTTAATTTTGGTGCAAAGAAAACCCAAATTTGTTCAGTCAATATTTCTTTCTTCAGTCACTAAGAAGTCTGCTGATAAAAATGTAGAATAAAGACAAGTTAAATTCTTCTTATTAAGATATCAGCTGAGATATTTTACAAGGCGTCTATGAGAGTGAAAGCCAAAATTCTGTTTTATATTTTGCATACTTTACAAAATTTAGCAGGAACTTTTTTCCTTGTTTCGAAGGACTTATTTTAAATCTATAGCGCTTTCACTGTATTATCATGCAGCGTAAAAAACAAACAGTCTCACTGCAACCAATGAGATGAGTTTTCACGCCACACAATTGAAGACTAATTGTAACTCCTTTCTTAACGCGCATAAATTAGCTAGTATAAACTTTGCATATGATTTGCGGACATTATACGACTGTGTCACGGTCTCTTGGTGGTTTTCATTGTAAATACAAACTATTCAATGAAGTTTGAACAAATTGATGGATGATAGGCGGTTTTTTAGAGCGATTAGGAGCTGAAAATGAGGACGGTTTAGGAAATACAGGCCATCAAGTGTGCGGTTAAAAAGGATTAGCCGTTTGCGTTAAGTTTCGGGAAACAAGAGATTGTGCGGGTTTAATAAGTTTTCCTGAACATGGCGGATACTGATCTGAAACTGTCATCCACTAATGGAGAAAAGCAATTCACGATTTGCACTTTCTGCAACAACTCCACCAATGGATATGAAAAGCGTTTGTTTGCAACGGAACAACCGAAAGGACCATTTTTTCCTGTTTTGGCCGAGTTACAAAGAGATAAAACTAAGTTGGATCTTCTAGGTCGAGCTGTTGTGTGTGTTGCCTGTTTTCATCATCTTTTACGACAGTGGAGTAGCTTTGAACGAAGGGGTATTCCTATACGAAAACGAGAGTATAATATAATCACAGGTATGTTAAATTAATTCGTCATATTCATGTACAGATCAGCCGTCTCGATCGAAAACATAGGGGGTTCCCAAAACTTTTCTTGCGAGATCATACGGGTAATTGTTCCGTTTATAAGCTCAATCGTATCTCTGCAGGACAGTATTGTTTAAATCCTAAAAGTGAAACCAAGAATAGAGAATTATTCTCGCGGTGAATATAACCTGGCCGTGCTATACGGTATTTACAGACCGAAGTACTTAAGTGTTCTGATATCATGCGCATTTTATTTGCTTCGGTGCTGAACCAAGTATGATTTAATTTTCAAAATAATACATACACTTGAATGGTTGTTACATAAATAATTTGACAGAAAGATATAATTCAACTGAAATGGAGCGTTAAAAACTAATGAAGCCTTTTTGTTCGCGTGGGAAAAACGGACTGAACTTTCATTGCAATTTCTTCAACCATTTTTGGTGTCGCTTATTTTATTTGTAGTACTTTCTTTTGACCGTTTGCGGAACAAACTTCTGTATCCGTGTGTCAAAACATACAAAAACGTGATATAGTTAAATTAATGTACACGTTTACGATTTTCTATTTACGCTAAGTTTTTGTCAGGCACTTCATATATCCGTCTTGAGACATCCGACACGCTAGTTTTGGCATGTGTCTTGTTTTGCGGTCAATTAGTTAAAGTGACTTTAAATATATATCTTTTTAGGCAGGCTCTTTGAAACTTCGCTAAATCAATTAAATGCCAAAATTTGTGTTTACACAAAAAAGGTAGATGTATTTAATTTTCTGTCGGACATTTGACTACTGAATATGATTGAATCTCACGCTCAATAGTAAAGTATGCATGAAATTTTACGCTGGGATAACTTAAAAAAATAGCAGTTAAATAAAAAGTTTTCTCCAACCTTATAACCTAGCAATAATATTTTCTCTTATATAATGACCAGCTCGTCAAAATTTAATTTATGTAAAGTGCTTTGCCGTTGCAAAAACGCTTTAAGCCTATTCTTTACCTAATTGGACTCTATGTAATTAATCTTATTTTATGCATGAACAAATGTTATTTCCGTGTACAAAAATATTTCGACTTAACGAACGCTCGTCTGGAGTAGTTTTTGTTTTTGGTTCAAAAGTTCAAAACCGGTGGTGACAATTTTATACCCTTGATTGCGCGCTGGCCCGGTAAACGCTTAGAAAAACCGGCCAATTGCCTGTTAACCGTGTTTGCTCATTGGTGTCTCACTGTACGATTTTTTCATTGTTATTGAGCTCTCGTTTTATATTGTTGGACATATTTTACAGAACACATAGCAGGATTTATCTCAGCTATCTCTAATCCCATTGTCCACCCATTTACTGAGAGAATCAATGTGGCTTAGAGCTCAGGAAAAGCGCCGATGACAGGAAGAATATTGCCAGAGTGCACTGTTTGCCTTTCAGTTTTGCTTACATATCAGCTTCTGGTTATGTTGACCAAGTCGCCTCCGGTAGTAATTTATCAGCCGGATATTATACTTCCGAAACGGGAGAACAAAATTGTGTCGTTTACAGAGCACTACAAACGTAATTCTTGGCGTTTCGGTGACTTAACTTTCTCACTAAGTTCTCCAAACTCAGTCGACAGTGCAAGTTTTTTCTTCCTTCTGTCACCTGGCGTCCATGGATAAATGAAGGGCCATTCGTTACGTGACAATGAATTCAACGTAGGCCGATATAACATTAAGAACTCAGTAGACTACTTGGCTTACTGTAACGTCTATTCCTCGGTGCGATATTTTCTTAATATCAGACCGTGTTCTGCTCGCCGTACATGTCTTGGTTCATTTCACCACAATGGATTTTATTAATCTTGTATCAGCCAGACTCAAAGACTTGTTTGGAACCGAACTCGGAGATGGTTGTCCCTCTTTACAAACGCCTCCAGGTCGTTTGACCCGTACATTCCCTCGGGTAAATTAGTAGCAGTCCCTCGGGATTCCTCGCAGTGAACAAACCGAAAGCGAACATAATGCTACGCTAAGGGAAACTGTTGCTGGACGCTTCTCTCCTGTTTTAGGTTTTTCAGGCTATACCCTTAAACCCTGTAGCTTTTGGAAAACGGGTTTGTAGTCAACATGCCGCCTTTTTAACATATTACGTGAGAATGTTGTCCTACCTCAGGATCGATCACCAACACGAAGGAACGTTAAAAACAAACTGTAAACCTTTCCTTCACGACTCTGTGGAATTCGTATGTGAAAGCAAAACGTTTCCTTAATGCATTCCAGAGAAACAGATATTTTTGTAAGTATTTGTACTTGCTTCCTTGTAGAGACTGGCAAACTTTGCTGAGCGACATTAGAAACAGGATATAGATTTTTCTCGTAATGAGTTAGTAAGCCTCGCTCCCATGTAATGGAATCCAAGACAGTCTTGGATTCTGGATTCCGCGCCGTGGATTCTTGGATTCCAGGTACTGGACTCCAGGCTTTTTTAGTGGAACTTGGAATCTGGATTCCAATCGTTATTGGCATTCCGGATTTCTCGACCTGTTTTCCGGATTCCAATGGCGAGATTCCCCGGCCCAAGCAACAATTTCCCGCATTCCGGAATCCGAATTCCCTTACAAGGGGCCATGAGCCGTTAAGCACCGTTCTTTTAAAGGTTATCACAATGGCGGAGGCAGCTGAAGCTCGAAGTAATTGTTGTTTTCTTTAAAATGATGTGACTTTATGTTGACGATTTCAAACTTATACACATTTTTTTTCCTTACACATGATTAATAAAATCTGCAGCTTTTCTGTTTTTTGCCTGGTGCCGTGAAGAATGATCGAGTTATTTAATAAAATTCTTAAATGGAAAAAGTCACCTTTAGTTTTTAGTTCTAAGTAAACTTCTATATTTGATATTGGCATTCATTCGTTGTGTTCTTTTATTTCATGCTTATTGTTTTGAAAACATATCTCGCAATCATTGAACCCATTCAGCAAGTACAAACAGATATTTTGTCTCATATTCTATTTTCGTTAAGTTAAAATGAAGATCTTTCCTGAAATTGTGTTTTGCTACGTTAAGTTTACGCAGATCACTCCAGTTTGGTCAAACTTTGAATTTTCCGCAACTCTAACTTTCGAAGAAAATAAATTATTCATTAAACGAATTAACTTCGCGAGTATAATCATGTTATTATTGGCCAATGTCGGGTCAGATAATTGTTCGAAGATATTTACGAAGTCCGGAACATATTGCGCCATGCAAATGACCCTTGGTATTTCCGAGGCGTACTGTGATAAACAATGGTGTTTTGACTTGTATTGTGTTTGCCAACTCGTTGCATTCGTTCAGTTCGTGATGTCTTTGTATCGGTTATTAGACCCTGGCAGATGTTTCAAATGTTTTGGGGCTCATTCGCAATTTCGAGGGCAGTTTGTCATATTCTAAATCGTAAGTGAAGCCTTGAGATTCATGCAGTTGGCCAGCCTTTCACACTTATGAACGGCGTGTGTCGTAGATGGCAAGTATAGATGTGTCCTAAGTGTGTTAAGCACCTAGATTTAAAGTATCGCATAAGGATCCTAGCGAAGGTGAAAACATCAAACTGTCTAAGAAAATAACCGTTTGTCTTCAACTTAATAATTCACACAGATTCTAAAGTCGTTCTTTGACTTCTTTTCCACCTCTCTGCGGAGAAAATTGCATTCGTAGCTTTGTTTCTTGTTAGTCAACTATTGGATTTTCTTTTCCACAAGCAGTGACGATTGAGGATTACAGTACAATAGGGTTCTGCACAGGTGCTGTATTTCCGCAAATACATCATTTTAATTGCAAGCTCTGAAATTCTCTATGTACGGAGTTGTATGGAGTTATTAGATCAGGTGACAAAAAATGACTTAGAAAATTCACAAAAACGGGCTTGTTTTGCTAGGAGAATTCTCCAAATACAGCAGTCTCGTATATTAGCATATATTTTAAGAGAGAACATCGCTATTGTTTACTTTTTAACGCCCGAAGTGGCGGTTTTTATTATCGCATCAAGCAAATGGAAATGTCGAGGTTTTTTTCCTTGAAAGTTACTCGAACAAGTTACAAATTACCTCAAAGTTTTATCTCTGACGTTGAAATGCGGTTTTAGTGTTACTAGGGGTATGTAGCGTGCAGCAATACCTTAGAGCGAACTTGTTCATCACATGAGGCGTTATTTATAATTTATTTCATGTTTTAAGGGCGTCTATTTCTTTACTACGGTAACATTAAGAATGTGGTGCTACTGAAAGTTATGCCAAGTTCGACACAAATTGATTTTTAAGGAAGTGTCATGACTCAAAATGTCCATTGGAGAAGTTGTGGACTTTAAATGAAATAACAAAACGAAGACAACAAACCAAATTACATACCACCCTCCTATCGTGGTTTATAAAGTTCAATGTGACAAAAAGAAAGGTATTGTAACCAGAATAATATAAGAAGGAAATTGTTTCTTGTCTTAGTTCAGTTCTATACCATATTCAAGAAGGGCAGCTTTTTGTCGAACTTGTAGCATTGTAATTTCGTGAACTGACAAGCCCACACGTACAAATTCCTGGCTCGAAAGGTCGCATAATTTACTATTTCCGAAGGTTAAAACTCAGTTAAAGCCACGTATGGGACGCTATTCGTAATAAATCGTTTGGTATTGTCAATAATGTGATTAAATGACTGCACGGTAAGAGTTTAGAATAACATGAAAACAGCACCACAGGAAAGTACTACTCTATTGATTCCATTTCAATGTCAGACTTGAGAATTTATCATTAGGCTCATAAAATACTATATAACCCAACGTGCGCGGTGAAAACGCTGTAGCAAAGTCAACAAGTTCTGTTGCTCAATAGCTTCTATTTCAAATGTCACTTTTAAGGATTTCATTGAGTCTCAAAAAGTCTCATTAAAGGGGCTGTGTCACGGCAGTCCAGATCATTATGTTTAATTTCTCCAATTACTCAACCTCAATCGCTATGGAACTTAAAGAAAGCAAAGAAATTACATGTAAATGACAAAGTCAGAGATATGTCTCCCGAGCATTATTTTTGAAGTTGCAAACAGCAGAGATAAACTTTGAAAAAGTGTTAGCAGGTTAAGGCTGAACAGTTTTCAAAACCCAGATTTCAATCCGTTTCATTCTTCTTCGGTTTCGCCCATCCGTGGCATCTGTTGTATTTGTTGTGTTATTTTGACCTTCCTTTAATGTTTAAACCGTTATTTTTATGTTTCTCTTGGATTTAACGGGCATTTTGTAATACCTAATTTGGCTGAATTTCGTGACACAGCTCCTTTAAACAGTGCCACAAGGGAGTGTTGATTGGAATGGTTCAGTTGAAAAGTCACAGTTTTGGAGGAGTCTGTAAAGTACGGTTTCGCTCCTTTTACAGTAAAATTTGTTTGAACAATTAATTTTTAGGATTTTATCGGCAGTGAAGTAATATGGCCTCCTGATATTTAAAAGTATCAGAATGCAAATTGGATCTCGTTTTCAAATAGGACGTTACGTGCGGGCAACTTTTCTGGCCATGCTCTTTCAATAACACCCCAGTTTAATACATCTTAGAGGCCTTAATTTTAATGTAAATTTATTAATTTGTGCGCATTGTAACTCAATCATTTCAGACGATCGTGTTAGCAATTACCAGGTTCGCAGAGAAGAGGAAATACGCAAAGAGGCGGAACAAAAAATAAAGGAAGTCCAAGATCGTGAGGAGCGAATACGACAAGAAGCCGAACTAAGGTTCGAGAAATATCGGCAACGCCAAGCGGAAATCCGACGGGAAGCCGAGGAAAGGCTTCTCGAAGAACAGGCAAGAGCCGAGGCATTGGAAAAGGAGACTTCGACGAAGCTTAAAGAGGAACAGCTGAGAGAGGAGCAGCTCCGACAGGAGGCTGAAGAACGCATTCGAGAAGAGAAGGAGAAACGCGATTACATTCGTCAAGAAGCAGAGAGACTGCTTCGAGAGGAGAAGTTACTTGAATCCGAAAAATTCAAACAGTCATCCCAACCTTCAAGTCCTGAGGTGACAAAACAGGAACCCCAACCTCTGAACTCTGACATTGTTACTTCGTATAGAACAGAAGTTATTATTCCTTCCGTAGAAACTGTCAATAAAAACTCTCCCACGAAGGAAACTGCGGAACAACAAAGAGAATCAGACAATATGGATGATAGTATTAGTGAAAGAGAACTAAGTGCGAGAAGTAAGTCTCGTAAAATGATGGTGTTTGACCCTGAAACCGGCTGCTATCGGAAAAAATCTGAAAATGAAGACCAGGAAAATACATTTACTGAGAGCAAAAAGGAAAGAGTCGAATATCGGTTTCGTCTTCGCTCAGACGAGAAGCCTGAGAAAGCAACAGATGCGAAAGATTCCTCTTCAAAACAGGACAAGGCATCCGAAGACATTCAGGTTATTAGAACCGAGCAAAGCGTAACTATAAATGGCAAAAATAAGTCGAGAGACGATGAAGGAGATGAAGAGGATCTTAAGAAAGCTGGCGAAATTATGAAAGCTAAGTTTGAAAAAGGTCGAAAGAAATTCGAGGAAGAACCCTTCGAAAGGAAACGGAATGAGCCTACAACCGTGAGAACGGCGAGGCAAACCTCTGACGATTCACTGGAGGAGAAGATCAAAGAAATGGAGAAAAGACGAGAGCGCCTTTTTCTTAAAAGACCGTCCATGGAACTGGAGAAGAGAAGGTCTTCTGATGAGCAAAAGGATCTTTCTCCAAGAGGGGAGGGCGAGAGTCCTAGACAAGAGTCAAAGAACACTGCAGATGATACTGCCAAGAGACCTAGAAGTCGAAGCGAGCGCACCAAACGGCGCTTGACAGCTGAAGAGATGAGCTTGAAGAAGACCACAAGCGAGGAAGACGTAGCAGAGCGACGTCGGAGTAGTTCTGGATCTGCTAAGGTACAGTAAATCCTCCTTTTCAAACAGGGAAGGAAGTTATTTTCATAACTTTTAAGCCCCCTCTCTTTTTACGCCCCAACCCCTCCTTCTATTAAGCAACCCCCTCAAATGGTCTTGAAATAAATAAGCCCCTCACGAGGGGAGTTAATAGAAGACAGTGGCGGGTCCAAGGGAGGAGCGCGGGGGACCCGCCCCCCTTATTTTTAGACCAACCACCCCCCTTTTTTAAGGGTGTGGATGAGGCACCGGACGATATACGGTTCACAATCACCTTAAAATTATTACAGCTCTAGCTGGTCAAACACTTGTCACAACGTTGGGCTTAACATTTTGACAACGTAGTGTCCAAGAGTGAAATAAAGAAAAACCAATGAATTCCCAAAGAACGTTAATAAAATTGAATCACTTATTTTCCTGTTTCAATCTGCCAGGTCCCTAAGACAGAGGAAAGAATAACAGAAACAAAGAAAGAAACTTTCCGGATCGAACTAGACCGCTCAAACAGTAAACCCGAAGACGAGGTTTTCGTGACACGGGAAGAACCGGTTGAGGTAGGTTCTATAGATCTCATGAGCTGGGAAGATGACTCCACCGACGGTACAACCCCTGTCAAGGACAAGGATCATAATACAGAGTTTAGAAAACGGGCCGACAGCATGGAAGGCGAGACGTTTCCAAAGGCAGGGAATTTGGTAGAGATAGAAGCGTCTATTAGTGTTACTCCGAAGACAAAGGTCGAGAGTACCCCAGATACAACAGGAGCCATTTTGGATCTTGACGAGGTAGGTAATCGTTCTGTTGATCACGTGGTGAGAAAGAGTGGTGGCCTGGGGCTGGCAATCCCCGGTAATTCGATCAAGCTTGTTCCTCTGGCTTTTTTCCCCTCAGAGCTGTATTCTGTATGCACTCAAGGTCAAGGTGTTTATAGTTTTGAGAACTATACAATGAAACTACTGAAACTATCACTTGGCAAAGCTGTGAACTGGTATTTTCACTACCCCTGTTTTTAAGGTTTTGATTTTAAAGATAGCCCAGGGTTAGAGCGCATTTTATATTCATATATGAAACCTTTTAAGACTGAATATCGTCAAGCGCTCTTGGGATAAGGTCGAGCTGGGGAAAAATCTAAATCGAAGCTATCCTTAAATTGTTTACGCGTTTTGCACATACCGTAAAATTCCGAAAATAATCCCTAGGGCTTATATTTTTCAAAGGCCCTTTTTGAGGGGCCTATTTTTGGAGGGGCCTATATTCGGAGGGCCTTATCTACGGAGGGAAATTTGCGTTTCAAAATCGATCGGGCTAGACTTATAGTTAAAAGTAAATTTACCGTTTTTGCTTTGTTTTACTTTGTATTTGAGGGCAATTTCCAAGTACAAGCCCCATCCAAGTACAAGGGGCGATTTAACTGAGGGTTTTTTGCGTTACGAGTTTAGGGGGCAGATATTTAGAGGGGCTCATACACGGAGGGGCTTATTTTCGGAATTTTACGGTATCATAACTTTCAATTCTCTCTCCACAACTGTATCAACTGATTCTAACAACGTTTGTACAGAAAAACGCATAAATTGCCTTTTTTCCTTTTCATTTGATATGGGCACAATGTAATTTTGCTTTTCACTTCACGTACGAGTGAGGCTTGGTTTGATAAAAATTCAATATACTACAGCTTTATCGAAGTGTTTAAACTAATCTTTTGTAATACCTATGAGCCTTGCAAATGTCCATTACAATGCAAGTTCAATTAAGGTCCGCTGGTTTACAACAATAAGCACCAAGTCTTGATGAATGTTGAATACGATTACTGATTTACTTAATTTACATAAGATTCCAACTTCAACGTAGCTATGGTGGAATCAGCATCCTTTGCTCAACATACGGCTGTATAAGAATTTCTTCACTTTAATTGTGTTAACAGGACTCTAACATGTCTACACCTGTTCTGGAATCTATCTCCACGTGGGACAATAGAGCTCGTGCAAGCAACACGGCGGACGAGGACAGAAGACGCCGCGAGCTGGAACACGAAGAAAGAAAGCGAAGAATAGAGGAACGCCAGCGAGCCGCAAAAGAACTCAAAGCGAAGAGAAAATCCGGTAGTGACTTTGATGAAAGCACCAGAACCGAGGAACCTGCTCGAGAAATGACGATGAAAGAGAAAAGGCGTTCTTTGGTTGATATGTGGGAATCATTTAGCGAGCCTCAGAGCACTGTCATCTCTTTTGAAGAAACTGAACCGAAACCTTCACAGCAACGCAAAAAGGTTTTAGTGCGAGAAAACAGGACTATTTCGGTAAGTAGAACGTAAATAGGCTACAATCTTAAACCTCTGGGGGAAATTAAAACTCTCGAAGTCCAACAGGCACCTTTAATTAAAACTTCTAAAACTACCGGGCAATGATCAGGTCCGCTGAGTACCGGTCGAGGCAAGTAAGGGTGCGACTGAAGGTGTTTGGATTAGGGTTAGGTTTTGGGCTACACTAGTCACACCTTTTGAACACCTGCCGATCAGCAAACATATACCAGGGGTACCCAACGACAATTTTTGCAAAATATCTGTTCGGAAGACGATTTGAGATGTAGAATTTTCGGAACATTTGATGTAAAATTTCTTGCTTGCCTGCCTCCCCTAGGATTTTCGAACATCTAAAAAATGGTATAATTGCCCATTTTTAACGGATTTTTACCCTAAAGAGGCCACCTAGGATTTTCGGGAGCCCCTTTTCTGGCTGAAATTTTCGAAAAGGTAAGTTTTGATCCCTATAATTTTCGGATCACTAGACTTTCAGCTAGGAAATCCGAACAGATGAAAAATTTTAGGGGATAAAAATATGCCTATAGCCACCGTTTAAATACTAAAATACGTTTAACAATGCTATGTGTTAGTGGTTTTGAACTATATTCTCGTTGGGTGCCCCTGATATACTCCAGACTGTTCTCCATACAGTTTTCTTAAAGAACTAACAAGAGAATTTATAAAAGATCAAAGTATTTTCCTTTAAGTAATCATTTCAATAATTCTCTTAGCCATTTCTTGTGATGATCTTTTGATATTGTCAGAGAATTAGTTTAAATCTCTACCCTGATGTTCCTGGATCAAAAGGCCTCTGCTCGCAGGGTATTAACTCTCCGAAGAATTGAAATGGAAATAAAAAACAAATACATGTATTGGCATATTATAATAAAATTATAAAATTAAAAGATACAATGTATACGAAGAAAAAAAGTATTAAATGTAAAGGGATCTACGAAATTAGGGCTTCTTGTAAGGGGCTTATGCTTTTGACATGTTTCAGTGCTTTTTCAAGGTTTATTCTCAAGTACAATGATAGTTTCAATTTCTTACTTACTCTTTACTTGTTACTCTTGATGTTTACACGGTCTGCAGGTCTTTTAAGAACTTATTGTCTAGTATTCAAATATCGAAATATCCGTATCACATGGAAATGTCTGAAAGAGGGCCACAATGAATGAAAGGTCAAGTGGGATCGAAGGTGGGAGGGAACTGATACCTGTTTAGATATCAGATTTATTTTCCACCAAACGCCTTCTTAATCAATATCTGAGATCCTCTTGTAAATATTCACTGATTTATCAAGAGGCTCTTGAGAAAAAAATTTACATAGTAACACGCATGTCTCGAGAGAATTGATTACATTTTCGTGCAACTCGTTGTAGCGGTAAAAGAAAGTCGCTTAGCAGGCGGAATTTTCAAAGCTTACAAATCTTTTTTCTGCTTAGTTTGACCCTGCAGAAGATAACAACAACGGCATAGACATGGAGCTCGATGATGAGGAGAAACTTACCTCGAGTAGGCCTATTCCTACGACGAGGAAAAAGAAATTGAGTGAAGAAGAGCAGAGATGGGAAAATGCAGAAAATTTCCAGCCAGGAAGACTTCAGAAAACTGTATTTCATAGTTTGTCGGAATCTGAACCAGCGATGGAGGAGCCGAAGGCCAAGCCAAGAAAAGGGCCAAGTCGATATGACTGGATGAAAGGCGAGAGCTACGAGGACCAAGAAGCATTGGTCCCGACCAAACTCAAAATCGACTGGCAAAACAACCAGGTTACCGATGAAAGGTTAGAAAGCGTGAATTGTTTGTATCATTGAATATTGCTTCGTATTGACCTGGCATGGGGTAAATAAGTCGCTAAAACGGTCACGATCATTTAATCGCGGTTCCGTTTTGTTTTAATTTGTGGCGATCAATACGCCATGTTTCTTTAGTGCCTGTCTCAGCAAGACCAATATGTGACGAATGATGCTGGGTTACGTAAAATAGCACGAACTGTTGGTTCAGGGATTTAGCATGAATTCCTCAGTCGATTTGCGGTTTCGTCGGTCAAAATTGTAAAATTTTAATGATCTGTTTTCTGCAATTAAATTTTTACGTAAGCGATGATACAATGGCAATATCTTTGTCATTTCGAAATTTGCCATATTGCTTAAATGACCCTAATGAACAACGGGACTTTTTCGGAGTATATTAAGCGACGATAAATTTACAATGCAAAATACTTGAAGTTCTGTAGCCTTAATTCATAATTCTTTGTGTGGTAAATTCAGTGCAATATGGTACATAAAAAATAGGATTAAAAGTATGATAGGCGACCTTTTGTATTTGTGTTTAACAAGTTTCGAGTTTTGTTTTTGTTTTTTGACAGCACCGAACTAAACGTAGTCACGCATTCCATTGTTACGTGTAACGCATTTCCCTGTTCACTTATGTTTTTTTTTGCGATCGATATAAATCTTGATATTGCGCTAATTTTCGTTACGCTTAGATCTTCCGTTAAAAGGCAAAATGAAACGTAATCCATCCTTTGCAAAAGAATACGAAAAAGACTGACTGGCCGCACATCGCGCTTTTCTAACTGGTCACTATGTCTCAGTTTCACCGGTTTTGATTTATTTCTTATAGTATTCTGTCACAAGAAAATACAGTTGACTCCCGATAACTCGAACCTTCAAGAGAAATCGAAAAAGGTTCGAGTTATCGAGAGTTCGAAGAAAATAGCCGAGAGTATGGTAAAAAACAGTTTTTACGGCACAGTGAACATTTTAATCACATTTAATTTTAGAAATGTTGAGAGAAAATTGAAAGATACTTTTAGATTATAAATCAGAACGTAAAGTAACAAAACGTGACCTAAATAGAGCATGCATTTTACTTTTTGAGAAGTAAAGCTATTTCACTTTAGATTTGTGACAAACAACATCAGCCTCCACTATCGATCCACTAGTAAACTAGATGCCTACAACAGGTCAATGGGAAATTCAAAATTCAATGTTTCGGAGGCAGTACACTGTTTTTTACCGACTTTTTAAGGGCTCAAAACATGTTTCGAGTTATTGAGGGTAAAATTATGTAGAAATGATCTGAGGGGAAACAAAAATTACTTCGAGTTACCGGGAGTTTCGAGTTATCGAGGGTTCGAGTTACGAGGGTAAAATTACAGTAAATGTATGACGGAAGTCCAGGTGAAATCGATTTTGGTTCGAGTTATCGGGAGTCAACTGTAACACTGAATTTTGTTCTTTTTTTCTCTCTTTTGGTTTAGCGGAGATAAGGTTACAGGAAGTCAGCTAAAGGTACTATTATTATTATTTTTATCATTATTTTTTAAAGAGAAATTCCATGGAGAAACAAGTGGACTAAAAAACTAATCAAAACAGTATTCCAACAACGTAACAGTGTTCCACCACTATCCACCTCCCCTTTGGGGGATAGTTGTACAAGTCACTGTTTTGTTACACTCCGTCCCATGTCAGGTAATTACCGGATTCCGGCGTAATTTTTACTTGTGTTCGTGGAATCCGGAATATTGGGGTTTGGACTCCGGAATTCAGCTCAAGGAAACCGGAATCCTACAAACGATTGGAATCCGGAGTCTACAGTGTGAAAATCCAGAGTCCAAGACAGTCTTAGATTGCACAGGCCTGTATATCCCCTGTAAGGTGACTGTTCTCCTTTGCATGGAAAATCTATTTAGGATTTTTGACCTTGGACAAAAGATTTTTCGTTGATGCATTTTTGACGTCTTGTTTCCGTGATCATTCCAGACCAAAACCGTAAGTCAGGACTCGCAAAGCAGCAGTGATGATAGCGAGAGTGAAGGCGAAAGCAAGAGTGAGGAGGAGGAGAGACAACCACGAATTGACACAGATGAAAATCATAAGCTCACTGAAGAAGAAAAGCAATGGGAAAGTGCCGGACATTTCCAGCCCAAAAAGTTGAATACTGCTCTGATGGCGAGCTTCCTTCAAGGTGATTCTGGTGACGTTGTAACTATGCCTAAGAAGCCACACGAAGCACCAAAGAGACCTCCCCAGACGAGCCCTGAACAAAGAGTTGAAGCACCGATAAAGGCCCCAAAGGATGAAGTTGAAACAGAAAAGATAAGGTAAGGTGCTTTCCACCTGTAGTTCAAACCACCTCGGGATTGCTCTTACCGTAAATGATCGATTAAGCGCCGCGGCGCTTATTTCATTTTCCCTGCTATAGGTGCGGCACCTATTCGAGAGCGGCGCTTATTTCAACTACGGGTAAGACACTGTGGGGAATATAGAGAGAATTAAGTGAGGTGCGTACAAGGTGTAAGTTTTATACACCTCGAACTGTTATATAAATCCGGTTTCAAGAGTTGGCCCTAGCTACATTTAACACTTTACACCTCGCGAGTTGGTAGAGGTCTTACGCCGTAACACCGGAAGGGGGGGGGGAGGGTTAATTTGTAAATACCTCAATTAGCGCCGCGACGCTTATTCGAGTGCGGCACTTAATCGATCATTTACGGTAAGCTTTCGATACACCTTAGAATATCATTCACAGTCACAAAAGAATTATATATCCACCTTGTACAGCGTGAAAAAAGTCAGCACAGGAAAGTACTGCTTTGTAGCTTTTTCTTTTTCTTTTCTTTTTTTTTTTTCATGTCACCCCCTTTAAGGGAATCCGGATTCCGGTATCCCGGGATTTTTTGCTTATGGAATCCGGAATCCGAGAAAATTTTCACTTGTGCAATTCAGAATCCGGGAAGTTTTGTTTGTGGGATCCGGAATCCGTTATTAAGCTCAACGAATTCGGAATCCCACTAACGATTGCAATCTGGAATCCAATACCTGGAGTCCGGAATCCATTTCGTGGAATCCAGAATGTTAGACTGTCCTGGATTCCCTTATAATTACATGCGGCGATTGATGGTCACACTCAAGGATATTTATGCACAAACTCAAAAGTTAAAAACACCTTATGCAACGCATTAAACATTACCACCAGAAAGAAATGGTTAGTTACTGTAAGTGAGGTGGTACAAGAAGTAACGAGAACCCTAGACTCATAAGATAGAGTCACCGTGTACAAAATAAATCATAACTTTCTCCATCTATGTTGTAGGGAGTTAAAGATAGCATGATGGCGAGAGCGACGAAAACTTCGCTCAGAAATATGAATTCGCGTTTTCTCTATCTTCATAACAATTATTCCAACTTACTTTGTCAAATGTAGGCGAACTTTCCTTGAGTTAGATTCCTAAGAACTACATCAAAGTTACAAAGAGAAAGGAAATTTCGTCATCGTTTGAACATTTCACCGTCCTCCACAAAACATGAAATTAGGCATTTTCACGTCGAATTCGTGTAGTGAAGACAAAGAAATGTAAAAAGTGTGCGGCACGTGCAAAGTTGTTGAGTTTGTTTAAAAGGCCAAACGAAAAAAAATAGTCTCGTCTCCGCCTGCTTCATTTTTGGGGGCCGCTTCTCTTTTTTATTTTTGGTTACTGGAAAAGTCTCATTGCCGGCACCGTCTAAAGATTTAAAGTTTTCATTAACGCGTATAATCCTTATTATATTGTTTTTTCCGTTGTAGCCCTGTAAACGAAGAAAAGGCAGAAACAGAGGTAAGAAAAATCTTGCGGGTCTGTTTAAAATTGGGGTAGTTTAACGATTATTGAGTCGGGGGTGGGAGGGGTGGAGGTTAATTGGTGCTGGATTACTGACACCAAAGAGCTAGATGAACTTAATATTTTTCAAGTCTTTCCTCAAGACCTCACTGCAATTTGAAAGGTTTGAATTAAAGAACCGCCCTGCTTGGCGGGATACTTGTAGACTGCAAAACAGTCCGTATTTTTGCGTGTTCAAATACGCGCGAACGGTCAAACAAAAGGTCTGGAGCGAGACTGAAAACAGAGAGCGAGATGCGTGAGACTCTAACGTTATTCTTACGCTACGCTAAACCGATTTTGAGACAAAAAAACCGACTGTTTTCCAGTATAGGATACCTGTGATTGAAGTCCGTTTGGGCGCCATAACTTGAAGCTCTTGCACTGACTAATGCCCAGTTTACAAGGAGGTGGGGGACTCCAGGTAGGTGAGGTAATCCTCTTAGAAGGGGTAACCCGCCTGTTCATATAATCTCTCATTTAAATTTGATCAGGTTTACATGATAGGTGGGGTGACCCGCCACAGGTTACCTCACCTACCTGGTGTACCCCACCTCCATGTAAACAGGCCCTAAGAAGTGACAACTTAAGTATTTGCTGTTACTCGAGCATGACAAGTTCCCTTGGCTGCTTGTAAAAGGCACGTTTATTTTTCACTTTGGCGCCTTGTCTCTGCCTTATGCCCGTGTTTGTGTTAAGTACAGAGATCTCCTTGGCTTTTAATGAAATAAATGATGAAATGTTTATCGTAACGGTAACCTGTAAAATAGCAATTGTAAACAGTTACTTGTTCATTAAAATTCTAAGCTATGCATTGTCGCCAATGCGTGACGTGGCTCTCGATTTTGTGTGCTTATCGCGCATGCGCTGTGCTGTGGTATTCTGCTCTGTTTCGTAAGTGTTCAACTTCTGTTAAAAACGAAATACCTCTTGTAAAAGACTGAATACCAGTCGTGGACACTCGGTAGTACCTGTACTTAACACATGATTGCCATATATTCGTCAGTCATCTTATGACTAAACTATCTGTTTCTCGTGGCTGAATTGGTTTACGTTCTTGACGGTTCTGTTCTTAGGCTCAAATAGTTGTTCTTTTGCTTTTTCTTGTATGTGTGGCTACCTAAATATAACCTTAAGTTAAACGTTGTTCATCTCCAGCAACGCTACCCTACTGTGTGCTGCATATCTTAAGCGCTCTTCATCTCTAACATGCTTCAAAGCTGGTATTGCTGTGCTCCAGTAGGTGAATAAGCCCGTTCAAAAACAAGGGACCTTTGTACTCACCTCTTTTACCTGAAAATTTAGCTCCTTGCATACCTGTCTGTCGGTCTTCCATATGACATAGAATCCGATATACTCCTTTCTTTCCCTCTAAAAGCGTCCTAAAACTAAACTGTATCGATCAATTTTAGCCTTACACGCCGGGGACGTATACCTACGAAGAGTCAAGCGATTCTGAGGACGACATTCCCGGATGGCGAAAAGTCGAGGAGCAGCGACGACAACAAGAGCGCGAAGAAATTGAAAGAGCAAGAATGGAGGAGAGACGCCGAATGGAACGAGAGGCCATGGAGGAAGAAAATGCAGAAGGTGGGAGCGATTCTAGCGATGATGAATTTGAGGCAAAAGTTCGCACAAAGGAGATTCGGAGAATCAATCCCAGTCTTCTTGGTCAGTTTCTGAATGAGCCTGAAAAGGAGCCGGAAAGACCTGTTAAGTCAAGGAAACCCCTGGAGCAAAAGGTTGAAGTGTCTAATGTTCAGCTGATCGAGTCGGCGCCCAGTATCGATCTACCCTTAGAAGAGGAGAGGCATGAGCGAACAGAAGAAGATGTGTACGAAGAGAAAGTGAAGAGCCAGCAGGTTCGAAAGCTGAAGCTTGATAACAGTCCATTCCTGCAAGCCAAGGAAGAGGATCACGCCCGTAAGGATGTACCCCGTGGTTCTAGAATTGTTGTACAAGAAGAGAGCTACGTTCAGAAAATCGATCACACCATCGTCGAGTCCGTACCGTCCGTTGACATAGGAACCAACGAGGTATTCATTTGTCGTTCCACGCATACTCCGTCAACTAACCTCTTTCCCTCTTTCACTCATATTTTTCATACAAACCTGACACATGAGGGCTTCATTTGGAGATCAGAGGTTATTGTTAGTAATATCTTCAACAATGCTTGTTTATTTTGTCACCCTTCCTGTTTATAGCACTTGCTTCAACAACGCATGCGCATAATATACCCCTTACACAGAAAACTACCCCTGAATTGTGTAGCAGTCTCAATTGTATATCACAAGTTGTTGTTAGTTTTTCATTTCCGCTACTCTGAATGTCTCCTTTTGCACCCTCCCAAGTTTTGAACGCTCGTCAATACAACAGTGAACTCTTTTAACTTTACGGTAAACGACCATAGTACTGACACGACCAAACCGTTTTCTTTTCCAGCCTTTTACTAAACCATTAAAAAACAAGTGTTCCGGCTCCTTACGATATCATTTAAAGTGCACCAAAAATATATGTTTTGAAAAATGCTTTGAACATAAATTAATAGAAACTAAAGTGGTGTTATTAAGCAATAAAAATTATGAATTTTCAGGGTTGTTTTGAACCTAGTCGCGAATATTACTAGGCGGTAGTGCTGTTAAATTAGTGTTATTAATATTATTAACATTATTTATTATTGTTATTTCAGCCTGAGATCAGTACGTACGTTACATCTACGAAAGAAAGTTCTGAGTCGTCATCCAGTGACGAGGATGATAGTGTTCCTGGGTGGCGTAAAGTAGAGGAACAAAGACGAAAACAAGAAAGGGAAGAAATCGAGCGCGCAAAGTTGGAAGAGCAGAGGCGACGAGAACGAGACGCAAGCGGATCAGAGAAAGAAGACTCTGACTCAGTTGATGATGAATTCGAAGCCAAGGTTCGAACGAAAGAGATTCGAAGGATCAATCCGAATTTATTGACCCACTTTATGGGTGAATCCGTTGACAGAGACACGCCGCCAAGTTCTGGAAGACTCCAGGAAGAGACAATAGAAATTGAGCGTGTACAATCAAAAGAATCATCTTCAAGTGAAGACAGTGACGTTGAAGAACGCAAAGAAAAGGAGGTAGATGGCGAAAATGATGAGTTTGAACTGAAAGTTAAGAGTGGTCAGGTCAAACGATTAGTTCTCGATAACAGTCCTTTCACGCAGTCGGCAGTAAAGGAAGAACCTGCATTGCTTCGAAGGCGTACGGACGAAAAATCCCAGAAAGAAACTAAAGAAATTCAGCGAATGCGGTCGATAGAGTCATCATCTAGCGAGGACAGTGATGCTGAAGACATCAAGAAAAAGGATAGCGATGACGAGTTTGAGCAAAAAGTCAAGGCGGGGCAAGTCAGAAAGTTGGTTCTTGATAATAGCCCCTTCGTGCAAACGTCAATCAAAGAAGAACCTCAAAAACGCCCAACAGCAGAAAAGAGGACATCTGCACCAAAAGCAGCGGTACAAGAAGAGACGCTTGTTCAAGTGGTTGATGACAAAGTTGTTGAGTGCGAGCCTGATCTAGTTTACCAAGAACCAAGAGAAGACGATGAATACGAGGAAAAGGTTAAATCACGATTTGTAAAGAAACTGAGCCAAGACCAATTCGGGTTCCTTCGTAAGCAAGAAGAAGAGGAGCGGAAGAAAGCCCAGGAAGAGGAACGGCGAAGAGCAGAGCGAGAGGAACGTGAGAGGGTCAAAAAAGAAGAGGAGCGTAGAAGGCGACTAGAGGCCGAAGCACAAGCCAAGGAAGAGGAAAGAATTCGCAGAGAAGAGGAAGCGCGTAGACGGGAGGAAGAAGAAACGGCACGGAAGGAGGAAGAAAGGAGGCGAAGGAGAGAGGAAGCGGAAAGAATTAGACGAGAAGAAGAGGAGAGGTTAAGGAAAGAAGAGGAAGAGGAGCAGCTGCGATTAGAAGAGATGCGCCGACAGAAACAGGCCGCCAAAAAGAAATTCGAGTCTGGTGTTTTTGATGAGATAAGCATAAACCATACAGAGAATGATATCTATAGCGTGGGACGTTTAGATTCGAACAAGCTCATGCAGTTTCAACAGGGCCCACAAGAAGAACCAAAGATAAAGTCAAAGAAGAGAGATAAGGAGAGTAAGGTAACTGAGGAGTACAAAGCACCCGAATCTCAAGTGGAAACTGTGAACATAGCGACTGTGGATTTGATCGAAAGCAGTCCTTACACTGATGGTTTTGACAAATTTCAGTCCGAAGATTTAGAGTACGAAGAAAAAAGAAAGAGCGTTGGAAAACTTGACAGGGACTGGTACATTAAGCAGCAATTAAAGCAAGCTGAAGAGCACGACCAGCGAGCCAGGCAGTTAGAAGAACAAAGGCTACGAGAAGAGAGAAGTGAAATGGTACGATTAAGAGAAGAGACAAGCTCTAAACAACGGGAGGAGGCGGAGCCAATTGAAGAATCACGAGACAGAAGTGATTCTGGGAAGAGAAGAAGCAAACTCGCTGCTGACAAATTTAGTCTCTTCGAGCATGAATCAAGACCAGAACCTACGAAATCGGGCAAAGAGAAAAGAAAGAAAGATGACTCTGTTAAAAAGGATGCAAGAGATGACGTACAAGCTAAAAATGAAAAGAGAAAATCTAAGAGTTCTGAAGAGGGAAATGTTATCATTCTGACGAAAGAGGAGGAAGCAAAAGCACTGCGTCTTCAACGGGAGAGGGAAGAGACAGAGTTACTTCGTCAAGAAGAGGAGAGAAGGAAACTTACTTCCCAGGAGGAAACTTACGACGATGAAAGAGAGAGCGATAAACCAAAAACTGTCGGAAAGCTTAACCAAGAACAATTCTTCATGTTCCAGCAGGAACGGGTTGAGGACAAAGCAAAGCCACGCAAACAGCCATCACAAATTGTGGAAGAAGTCATCAGCGTCCAAAGTCAGAAAGAAGTAGAGAGTGCTGCTCCAGTTAGTTTTGATCAGGCCGATTTTGGTCCTTCTGAGACACCTGAAGACGCTGAATACGAACAAAGGATCAACACAGGCGGGAAACTTGATGTAAGCAAATTCTTGGACTCGAGAGCGCTAGAGGATGGTGAAAAAAGACAGCGCTCGAAGATGTTAGCAGCAGAAAGAATGCGGCAGGAACAGGAAGAAATGGCCAAACTGAGAGCCGAAGAGAAAAAACGTATGCAAGAGGAATCAGATGAAGGTTATGTAGAAGAAACCACTGGAGACCGTGTCAAGCCACCAGCTACAAAAGAATTGGACTACGGCAAGTCGCGGAAAATTTCAATTGAAAGAAGAAAATCACAACCAGATGAACCCGATGAGGAGAGACGCGTCCAAGGAACGAGTGTCGGTCGCCTACCAAAAGAACTTTGTTCTGCGTTTGAAGGCGACACACCCAAAACAGGAAACTCGGATTCTCGTCACAAATCAAAGAAAAGCAAAGGGTCCCACCCTCAGTCAGGCGGGGATTCCCAGTTGAGAAGCTCTTCTGATGATAGTCTGTCGTATGTGGCGCAAGACAGGAACCTGAATGGTAGTGTCAGTCCTAGAGAGAAGGAATACTTAGACGAGAAAGCTATGGAGAGGTATGAGGTTATTTATGGAGCTCCGCGATTCACCACAACAATCAGGGAAATGCGATTTTAATTACCTTAATCCTTCTTTTTTTCAACGTGAATCCTGGTGTTCATCCTCATATGAAAACAAATTTTTATTCACACGCAAATTGAACTCATTCTCATGAGACTGTTGTACGCCTGTTCTCGCTTTGATGACGAGGCTAAGCTCAACTGATTAATGAGCAATTAATTCCGTAAACATGACTTAGTGGAATTTCCTGCATTCCACTTTGGTGAGAATGCACATGGAAACGATTTGGCGTCGATGGTGGACAAGTTTCAAAGAAATCACTAAATTTTGTCTATCCAAACCTTATGTTGGTATCTTTTCTTCACAGGAATGCGAAACAGGTCTTTTTTAGACTTCTGAATTCGTTTAATGTGGCAAGTGTTCAAAAATTGATGAAAAAATAACACGCATTTAAATTTTTAGGTGGAAACAGCCACATTCTATGTGAAATTTTTTGTGTTTTAGAGTAACATTGGCCTAATGATTTAGAGAAAGCTAACTGCACTATGACCTTCAATATACGGAGTTGATTGTTTTGTAACTTGATTTGAAGTGATGCGGATTTGCTAATAAGAAAGTGGTTTTAAACAGAGATTCACCAAAGTTATCCCTCCGAATACGCTGTGGCATTGTAATATTTGTTTCTAATGGACTCCCAAAAAGCTATTATTACTGTCACATTGCATCAACCATCACATAACATTCCGTGTGGTTCCCTTATAGCTGAATTTCAGGCCAAGTTTATCATCTTTTATTTATTTGTTGTTTATTTATTTTGTGATAGGCGAGATTCAGGCAGTGAAACGCAAGACCATAGTAAACTGATTGAGGTATGTGTTAGTATTGATAACGTTAAATAAACAGTTTGAACACTGGCGAAGAATGTCATGAGTAGGCTGAATGTGATCAGTATGATCGGAATTACTAGTTAGGGTAGTCCCAAGTGGGTCCGTTGCTAACAGTGACTGACGTTTCGACAGCCATTGCGATAGCCACTATTAGAGTCAAGGAGAGTTGTGTATTGTCTGTTGATGGTATTTAACTCTGACTCTTGACCTGTCAGTTGAGCCGTTATGCTGTTGACTGTGAATCATGAACTAAGCTTGAGTAGTGCGTTTTGACTCTTCTGTTAAAATTGATGAGCTTTAAAGTCCAGGAATCTACTGGTGTTTTTACCCATTCTAAGTACCACAATCCGCGTAGCTTTGGCTCAATTAATTTCCATTCCATCGTATAAGCTTACAAGAAGAAGGAAAGCTTACAAACTAATTTCCATTTCTATGGTAGATAGAATTATTCACTGTGTCCTGTACTATTAACCTTCGGAGAAATTGTGGCTAGATTGGAAGAAACCCTAAAGGTTAACACAGGAACGTGTTAATTGTCAACATAGTTCTACAAAAAGAAACCACTGACAACGCATTTTTTTTAAACATGCAAATCTGAAAAGGTGTTTCGAACAGACGAGCTAAGTAAATCTCGTTCCAAAAAAGTCTGTTGAAAGCGATGAAAGGTTCTAGTCTTTCAATATATGTCGCTTCGTCTGACTTGTCTGTTTTCCTTTCAGTCTTACACTCCTGAAGAAAAACCAGTCCCAAAAAAACTCCACACAAGCATGCTGGCTGCCTTTCAAAAAAGCCAAACGGAACCGGAAGTGCAGCTTCGTCAAGGAAAGGGTGAAAAGCGTTCGAGACCAAAAAGTATCGGTAATGTGGATTTGTTAAGGTGGGAAGAGGACTCAAACGTACGCCAGTCCTCCTCCAGCGGATCCAAAAAAGAGAAGACTGGGCGCCAACCTAGACCAAAGAGCATTGCGCATTAGAATGCGTACGTTTTCTAAAAGAAATATAATATGAAAAAAAATGTCTTTTTGTGTGTAGAATATCACGGCCTTAATGGCTTTGTGTAAAGGTTGTAGAAAATGGCAATAATAACAACAATAATAGGTAATTTAAAACAAATTTGAAATCAGATTTCCCCATTTGCTATCGTCCGTATTGTAGGATAAGGTTAGGTATGCAATGTTCTCCTTTGTGTCACCCGAATTCGTTACTTGTGCCCATTAACAGTACTCGTTTGGCAAGGACTTTAGGACTGGGTGTGCATTATCATGATACTCGAGGAACAGTCTACGATCGTGTTTTCGTGCTTTTCCACTTCTGTGCGCTCTTAGGGCCTGTTTACATGGCGGTGGGGGACCCCTGGTAGGTGAGGTAACTCGCCTGTCCATATAATCTCTCATTTTAATTTGATCACGTTTACATGAGAGGTGGGGTGACCCGCCACATTTTACCTCACCTATCTGGGGTCCCCCACCTTCATGTAAACAGGCCCTTAGTAACTTCTACACAGTACCCCTGGGATTTAGCAGATATAGGGTGGCTTCTTGTTCAAGGTTAAATGGTCGCCTTTGCTGTGACGACTTTAAATTGTGTGGAGGTCCGAGTTGCTTGGGCGTTCCAACGCAAACGCTAGTGCTGCGACACGCCTTTTTTTAGAAATGACGGGCGAACTAGTTAAATTGGCTTGTAGACAACCTGGACGCAAAAGTTGGTAAAAGCCCCACCAAAAATCAACGAGGTTTACTTCCTTATGCTAGCGTTTACGTTTGCATTATCTCGGTTCATTGGCCCACAGGGTAAACGCTAGCGCGGGGAATTTTTGTTGCTGGAGCTTGCGCTTTCGTTTGCATCGAGGCAATTCACACGTGTGATTGGTTGCGACCACATCGACCTTGTGACCTAGCCTTTAGAATTTTACACATAAGAATTGAATTTATATCAAAGCAGTCAGTGTAATCTTGGTAAGAGTAATATGTAGTTATAGTATTTAGAAACAATGAGGTTTGAAATTTTTGTATAGAAGCTGTTGTTTGATAGAATATTATAGAGACTTCGACGCAACGTCACTTCAGTTAAGTCTAGAGAGGCAGTTATATTTGCAAGAGCGAGGAATGTTGACGTTTTGGTTTATTTTCTGCATTTGTTTGTTGTTTTGTTTTATTCGTTTCTTAAATTAAAAACTTGTCACAAATTGAAGCTGAATATGGCGAAACGAGTAAAATGAAAACGGTTTCACCTTCTTAAAACGCAAAATTCAGTCATTCGTTGTTGTTTTCCAGAGAAATACTACGCGTATAACGATCGGCAAAACTCGGAATAAAAGCCACAGCGCCGTTTGTTTCGTTCTCAGTTCGTTCACATTTTGTAATACTCAGCTGCAATTGTGGTTTTACTAGCGTTTTCACAAGTTTTGAACTATTGGTCCTGAGATTCAAAACAATAGCCACACTCGTATGTTGGATTTTTCTAGTGCTGTATTGTAAAATGATACAATGATTTAAAATAATCTCATAGCGCTCAATTCACTTATATACTTTCACGGTCGTCGTAAACATTTTCCCTCACAAAGATCAAAATTAATAAAATTTTGTAGGATGTTGATATAATTATTTGTAAGTCAATTTGCATCGTTGAATTTATTAAACCCTAAATTTACTTAATCATGGCGTCTTTTGTTCCTGTTAGCTGCTAAGATGTTCATTGTTTTGATGAGGTTCGAATGTCTTGCCATCGAACTTTAACAGAAATCTCTTTAAAAGACATTCAAATCAACGATAACAAGCAGCATACCCCCAGCTCACCCAATCCCACCCGACTCTGGCGAATTTTTTTTAGGACTGATCGATCTTGACCCATTAGCACCGGCATTTTGTCAAAAGCACCATTTGACGCTAGCTGAGCCACCTTCTGGTCACTATAAGGCTGAAAGTAACCAAAACTGCCCAAAAAGCTGTTAATAGGTCGAGCGCTACGCTGCCTTCTGGTGCTGGAATGCTAAGCTTTCGAAGTTCGGGCATGCAAAGGAGGCATATAGTTTTGAAGTTTACAAGTAACACCGTCCCCTCTACTTTTCACGTTTCGCTTTCTCTCTAGCCTGTGCCAGGCTCTCAGATAGTATAGTGGGGACGTATTAAACGAGCAAAGCGAAAATAAGACGCGCGCGACTTGGGAAAGGGGGCGGCCCTGTCTCTCCCCAGCTCCCGCGCGTTTTTCTCATTTCTTTTTACTGAACGACTTTTCACCACTATCTGGGGGCCTGGAACAGGCTACTTTCTCTCCTACCCGGTTCTTTGGCTATTCTATCCCCACCTTTAGTTTTGCTGAGAATTTAGTGGGCTTTATTTCGTGGGAAAACTTTTCCTGAAAAATCCGGAGGATCGGGTAATCAACTGAAAGGAAGTACGGCTTGGTAGTAAAACACGATTTTAATAGAACTTTTTTCGTTAAGTATATAGATGGTTTCGGCGGTTCTTCTAAGCTGTACGGAGCTATATGTTGCATATTCCAAACTCTGCAGAGGGAAATTGTTTAACAGGAAAAACCACATTTTTGAAAAGGACATAAAATTTGGTGACCAAAATGAATAGGGTGCCTTCGAACGCCATGTTTTTGTTTCTTCTCATGACCGTTGATCTATGGATTTTGACGTAAGACCCTTGCTGAAAGGAAAACATCGTTTGGATTTCATTTAAGAGAATGTGAAGTAGCTCGTCCCCCACCCCCGTCCAACTGCTCTGGGCTTTTGGACTGAATCGTAATCACTCGGGGTTTGCTTCAAAGGTCTTTTATGTGTGACTGTTAAAGCTGATGACGTCAGAAGTGGGGCAAGGGAAGGGACTAAGGGCGGCAGGAGTGAATGGAGTAACGTAAACAGCAGTTTTCATGCACGCATGTCAAGTGCCGTTGTAAAGGATTTTTTACCCAGTGAGTCTCTACAAATAACATTGTGTGTAAGCATTTTGGTATGTTTTGTGGTGAGAATAAGCTAATACAACAGAGAATCTTTCTTCATCCTCAATACTTACAGTGCGGACAAAAGATCCCAAAGGTTTTCTCTTTTTTTTGTAAACGGACCAATAAATTCAAGTATTCAAGGATACAACCGTTGAAAACTTTCAAAACCATTACCTGACCTCTCAGGAAATGGTCCTCAAATTTCTGAATGTTACTGTTTTGCAAAAAGCCGTGAGAATTAGAAAACGTTGTGATTGGACAATCTTCTTTCAAGTGTCTCGGTTTGAGTCACCGCGATGTAAGAAGCGCAAAGGGTGTCCATTACGTTAATTGTAAGAAAATACTTATTATCATTAGAAAGATCTTGAAGCATTCGACAAGATTAAATATCTCGTTCAAATTAGCAAAGGAATTTAGGCTGACGCATGAGCAAAAAAACGTATCCGGAACCAGGGCGTTTCCAAGGTAACAGCTCTGTGAAATACACTTTTATCCGGCGGGAGACCCGGCGGGGTATAATTCACAGTAAATTTTTCTAAATGCCCCTTTTGGAAATACCGATCAGTATAGCAACACCATCAACTTCAAAAAGAATAACTGTTTTTATAAAACAAATAACGGGAAAATACCGGTAAACTGAGTGGCACTTTAGAAAGTAAGTGAAGGACATATTCATTACAATGTAAAGTATGAACACGGCACTTGTCAGTAAGAAAAGGGATAGGGAGGGGGTGTGGACATTCATAGGGGTGGGTAAGAATTCTATATATCACTCACTTGCACGAAAAGATTTAAACTATAATATTATAATAGATGTATAAACGGTTTTGTTTTGATGCAGGTAAGGGAAAGTTAAAAAAGTTAATAACAAGAAATTTAGCTGTCCTTGTAAGAGGTTATAAACTGTAAGAACCAGTTTTTGGATGCCGTAAAAGACCACTAATATCGGCTAAAGTGGTTTTGTAGATGTAATCTCTTACTGCATAAATAAGCGTGGGAAAATCAAATGTCACGGTTGAAGACATTACTTATACATTGCAGAGCTTTAAAACAAAGGACTCCTTTCGCCTCTTGCAGCTAACAATTACTAAAAAACGTAAGGAGAAAATGAAATTTCCTCGAAGAAAACGAGATAATTTAGAAACGTTACAGGAGAGACGTTACAGAACAGATCTAAGAACCCTCTTCTAAGATGAGCACTGGTTATAGTATTGATGACTGGAAAGCAATTAAATCGGAAATGCTTCGGCAAGGGGTGCTTCAGCAAAAACTCGAAGCTTCCAGTTGTGGTGGCTATTTTTGCAAAGGTCACACTCTGTTGATCAGTATTGTTGTCCTTTTGCTAAATATATTCAAGAACAGTTTAGCAAACTACCACGGCAAGTTGACAGGTGCTCTAGTCTTGTCTGGTTCGGGGTTACGACATGATCTAGCTTACGTTTCTGTAAACGCACTTTTGGTGTGATCAGGTGCAACTGGTTGATCCAACACACAACATTGGCCGAAAAGATTTTATTCGCACCTGGAAAGAAGGTACTTTCTTAGCTTTATTGAAGCTGTCGCATATCAATATTCCAGAATTTACTCAGACAAAAACTGGAGTTAATTGTGATGTTTTAACTTTGAGTCGAAGTCAAGATGAATTGGGAGGTGTGCATTTTCATATGAACCTCCACATCACTAACCCGTGGAAGCTGTAAAATTTGAATTTTATGCAGTCTGAAATAAGTATCTCAACTTGTAATTTTTACTGTGATAGGAAGGTTAAAGGAGCAGGAAGGATTATAGCCAAACTGTCGATTAATATCCTGTTTAACAAACCCAGGACTGGTTATTTAGTTCTTAAATAATCAACTCATAAAAGAAGCGGTAAAGGCTAAGTAGTTAGCCTTCAAATTTCAGGTTTACAGCCCCGCAAATTTTCAGTGTAGCAATGCGGACATGAGCGTTTCAGTTTTAGGTCCGATATTTCAAGTGAGCACCTATTTACAATAAATTTTTACATTCCTAAAAATAACCAGAAACGACTATTCAAACCAAATTTGTGACACTAGAAATAGTATACTTTGTTTGCATTTATCAGTCTTGAGTTAATGGCCTTTGCTTTTTCTAGTTTGCTTTCCACGATAACTTCGACTCTTTACGCTTGATATACTTCAGTACAAATAGCATTAGCATAAAGCAACAAAGCAACCGACGGGATTTAAAAATCGCATCTGCTGATTTTTCAATTTCACCTTCATTTTAACGTATTTTTCGTTTTTCTTATGATAAAAGACATTGCGCCAGTGTTGGTCTGCCAAACTTTTTCCCTGTAGTTTTAGGGACCTTGGAGAAAACTGAACTGTTGTAAATAGAACTTTCCAGTACACAGGACCCAAAGAGACGGCCCAAATTATGCATAAAACAACAAATTTCAGTACTAGCCAAAAGGATCATACAGGCTCCAAATTCCATGAAAATTTACGCGAAAAGGGGGTTTTCCACTTTTGGAGTATGCCTTCTCAGTTATCAATTGCGATTTGATTGAATTCACTGTTAATTAAAAGTGCTTTAAAACATTGTGAAAAAAAAACAAGAGTTAATTATACAGTCTCGTTCCTTCTAGTTTTCGGAATTTTGTAAGGCGACTCTAACTTTTGACTCTGTGGACGAAATCCTGTGGTGTGACCATTCAAATGAAAGCGCGTTGCCTGTACTTTCACATGGTCTTCTTTGTTTTTCAAAATTTACAAAATGAAATTTGGAAATGTGGTCGAAATTTGCCTTTGCCTACATTTGGCAGTGAAAGGGATAAAGATGACAGGTGAAAGCCTGTATTTGGCAGTTACGTAAACGCTAATTACGCATGGACTCCATTAAGCCATAAAACACAACACAAAACAAAAAAGATTTCTAAAGGAATGACATATGGCAATTAACAAATCCATAACAATCTTGGCTGGGCCTAGTTAGCAACTGAAGCACAATTTTTTGTCTGGCTTGAACTCTCATCTATTCTCCAACATGAATGTCTCCAAATCTTATAATTGTTTTTTTTTCTATATTTTTTATGTGGATATGTAAGATAGCTTAGTGTTCCAATTCATAGCCTTTACAAAGGCAGCAAGTAGTTTTTCTTACTCTAGACAGCTTTCGCCAAAAAAAAAAATCGCAATTCGATCGCCTGCCTGTGTAAGTAAACCTCAACTCTAAATAACCAATTCGTGCTGGACTAAAAGCACTTTTAATCGGAATCATGTGTGATCGAGCCGAAGGGGAGCGATTACAAAGCAACGATCAAAATCCTAAAACACGCAACTATAACTCCAAAACTCCGCAGGAATGCCAAACAATAAATGTCATTTAAGCGTTTCTTTCTATGTACATTTTAAATAGAAGATAGATGGTAATTTACTACTGGTGGCCCAAGCAAATTCGTCGAAAAGAAATACGTTGTACGACTGAAATGCCGGCTTTCGAAGGAACCACTAAACTGACGAAGATTTACTTACCAAATGCTCTTAACCAGGTACATGATAAAAACATTGTCGGTTCATCAGTGTACACAGCAGCTGAAAATTAAGCATAGTTTATCGCGTTATTCTCATTTTGCTAGAGAATGATCATCCCTTAGGGACTTTTACATATCACAATGTTTCATAACGCATTGCTTTTCTTAAGATTGGTGCCGTTAAAATGATCGATAAACCTTTACTTATTTTTATACCATAATACCGAATGTTGTTTTCAAAATCTAAACCATTGTTTTTTCTGCTTTGTTTTTATTTCTGTTCACTTCGGTTCTCTCAGTCTTTAAAACTTCTCTAAATGAAGATAACTATCTAGTGAATGATGCTGATGAACCAGCGTTCATACTTGAGTTTCTCCTTTGTTTTACTCTGCCACGATTTATACCCTGGCGTTAACAAGTTCAAGGCTAAAAACGAATGATATATTCATCGAATATCTAACTTTATACCAGACCAAGAGCCATAATTGACCAGACTCAAGACCTAAAAAGATTGAACTTTGAATTAATCACGGTTTGACCATATCGGCAATTTTAAGACAATTATAAGCTGGGAAGAATTGCAAATCACAATGTGATACGACATATTGAAAGGTTATTTTAAACTTAGTAGGAAAAATTGTGCCACATTACAGCACGCAAATATCTCAGGGCAGGAATCAGACCAACAAAGATGTCTCGTAAGATTGCAAAAAATGGAGAATTCTTGGTTTTCACTTGACGTCACTAAAATTCAAAATAAAGAATTATTGATCCTCTTGAGATTTTACTTCCATGAAGAGCTAGAGCCGCTAAAAACTTGTATTTTCATAAATTTTCACTCCGAGAGGGTTCTTCGTTTTGTGATAGAGTGCGCTTGAATTTTTAACCTTTTGCCTGACATGGCATTTACGTTGAGGCCCAGAGAGTTGTCATGTAACTTTAAAAGGTGACTTTCTTGGGGGATTTCGCTATCCGAAGAGTCTTTGTATATAACGAAAAGTATTACTTTTTACTAGTAAGGGCGGCACAGTTGGTTACTGTGTCGCCTTCGATGCGCGAGGTCCCAAGTTCGATCCCCGCTGACACCACATCCTTGTTTCAGCTTCTCTCCTCTCTGTGTAACTTTTACTAGCATAAACTACCTTAAAAACTGAGCATTGATGGAGAGAGGGGGGTAAAATGAGCGCACCGTCGACGTCAAGTTAATCTGTTATTATTACTGTCACGAGTTATCGACGTAAACTATGGGTCCTTTACCTTTTTACTTTTATTTTAATGTTTGTTAGTTCCTAAAGTGATGAATTCACGCTTTCGTAGCATATATCGCTGACTGATGTTTCTGTTGGTTTCCGGCTGCCATATTGGTGCCCCTAAGAGGGGTACCAACTTGGCTTCTCCATACAAAGCTCTATAAATTCAGGCAAAACATTTCTCCGAATATCTCGCATATGAAAAATTGCCCTACCTTAATCTTTGCGGAGACCTTTGTACATTTACCTTCTTTCATTTCCCAGATTCTGGACTTTGCCTATTGAACGGTTTTTATTTTTATTTTCGATGGCGTGACAGTAAACACCAGCAAGATACTTTTCTTAAAGACAACCACTGTCTTCTTTTTTTATAGAAACGAAACAAAACTGCTAACTATGCGGATCAAACAACGCAACGCAACCTTCAAACTTTAGGAATAATGCAGATATTCTGAAAAATGTCTCACGTGAACAGCCAAAGAGTCATCAAACATTTGCCTACTACACAAGACCATCAAAACAAAGACACAGAATATGAAGAAGTATCAACAGATGTATTCGGGAATACGAACGCGGAACGGCAGTTGCGTGATCCCAGCGATAGGTACCCAACTGAGGCGGTCACGTTCAATATCCCAAATGAAGAAATATTTAAGAAAAATGTGCACACAACAAAAACCTCGACTCAAGTAATTCGCACATATTATCAAAATGGTAAGCAACACACAGAATTGACCATTCAGCAAAACCCACCTTTTATGACTTCAGTTAACGTTAACACTGGCGAAAAAAACACAGAAGCTAAAACCTCTCATAAAGAAGCAAAATACCCACACGCTTCCTACTGTACACCTTCATATTCGCAAGTGAAATCCAACAAGTACTCTCCTGTAGAATATGGTCTGCATAATATAGGAAAGGCTTCTGACTACGAGAATCAAAGTAATCACAGCTTAACAGAAATAACAAAACCCAAGGTCAAGAGCAAGTCACAAACAAGCTACACATACAAAATTCAAAACGGAGTAGCCATATTACAAACCATAGAAAGGTGCGAAGACAAACCTACAACAACAAGTAAGAAAAACGAAAAGGGCGAACAAGTAAACCGAAAACAAACCTTAAGCAATAGTGGACAAACAGAAGACACGACAAACGAAACGCCCTGCTTAAAAACACACATGGCATCAGCAACCAGAAAAAGACAAGAAAAGAATAGCAGAGACTTCCTAAAGGACAAAAAAGACTCCCAAGGATTACATGCAATAGAAGAAATCAAGGAGCACAGCAATACCGTCAACCTTCAAAAAACAGTGCCTCATCACAAAGTAGAAAAGAAACAAGTAGAACAGCGGATAACGCACACCATTAAAGAGCAAGACCTCCGTTCAGAACTACCGCCTCCACTCAACAAGTTGTCAACAGCCAAAGTGCAATTCCTTCAAAACCAAGAAACGCAGAGAGTTACAAAGGTTACCTTCTCCACACCAGCAGATAAAACCATTCCCGATTTCAGTCAGGACAGCTCAACCTTACAAACACAACAAACATCTCCGCCTCCAAAACTGGACAAACGCAAAGCCGAAGAGTGGATAACGCACACAATAAAACACGAAGAGCTAAGATCAGAGCCGCCTCCACCAACCAACAAGCTGTCGGCACATAAAGTGCAATTTCTGCAAACACAAGAAACACAGCCAGCCACAAAAGTCGACGGCCCCTCACCAGGCAGACTGGTCATTCCCGATTTCGACAAGCAAAGCTCTACCTTCAAGGTGGACGAAAAGCCGCCGCCTCCCAAAACAGAGAAACTTCATGCCGAACAGTGGATAACAACTACCATTAGGCAAGAAGACCTGCGTTCAGAAATGCCTGCACCCGCAAATAAGCTGACAGCAGATAAACTACATTTTCTTCAAAAACAAGATACGCAACCAGCTGCAAAGGCTGATGGAGTGTCGCCAGGCAGACTTGTTATTCCCGACTTCGAGCAGCACACCTCTACCGTCGAGGTTCAAGAGACAGTGCCTTCTCCCAAAGTGGACAAGCGAAATGCAGAACGGTGGATAACGCACACTTTTAAACAAGAAGAGCTCCGTTCAGAACTGCCGCCTCCAGTCAACAAGCTGCCAACAGACAAAGTGCAATTCCTTCACGACCAAGAAACGCAGAGAGTTGACAAGGCCAACTTCTCCACACCAGGAAGGATAATCATTCCCGATTTCAGTCAGGACAGCTCAACCTTACAAACACAACAAACATCTCCGCCTCCAAAACTGGACAAACGCAAAGCCGAAGAGTGGATAACGCACACAATAAAACACGAAGAGCTAAGATCAGAGCCGCCTCCACCAACCAACAAGCTGTTGGCACATAGAGTGCAATTTCTGCAAACACAAGAAACACAGCCAGCCACAAAAGTCGACGGCCCCTCACCAGGCAGACTGGTCATTCCCGATTTCGAGAAGCAAACCTCTACCTTCAAGGTGGACGAAAAGCCGCCGCCTCCCAAAACAGAGAAACTTCATGCCGAACAGTGGATAACAACTACCATTAGGCAAGAAGACCTGCGTTCAGAAATGCCTGCACCCGCAAATAAGCTGACAGCAGATAAACTACATTTTCTTCAAAAACAAGATACGCAACCAGCTGCAAAGGCTGATGGAGTGTCGCCAGGCAGACTTGTTATTCCCGACTTCGAGCAGCACAGCTCTACCGTCGAGGTTCAAGAGACAGTGCCTTCTCCCAAAGTGGACAAGCGAAATGCAGAACGGTGGATAACGCACACTTTTAAACAAGAAGAGCTCCGTTCAGAACTGCCGCCTCCAGTCAACAAGCTGCCAACAGACAAAGTGCAATTCCTTCAAGACCAAGAAACGCAGAGAGTTGACAAGGCCAACTTCTCCACACCAGGAAGGATAATCATTCCCGATTTCAGTCAGGACAGCTCAACCTTACAAACACAACAAACATCTCCGCCTCCAAAACTGGACAAACGCAAAGCCGAAGAGTGGATAACGCACACAATAAAACACGAAGAGCTAAGATCAGAGCCGCCTCCACCAACCAACAAGCTGACGGCACATAAAGTGCAATTTCTGCAAACACAAGAAACACAGCCAGCCACAAAAGTCGACGGCCCCTCACCAGGCAGACTGGTCATTCCCGATTTCGAGAAGCAAACCTCTACCTTCAAGGTGGACGAAAAGCCGCCGCCTCCCAAAACAGAGAAACTTCATGCCGAACAGTGGATAACAACTACCATTAGGCAAGAAGACCTGCGTTCAGAAATGCCTGCACCCGCAAATAAGCTGACAGCAGATAAACTACATTTTCTTCAAAAACAAGATACGCAACCAGCTGCAAAGGCTGATGGAGTGTCGCCAGGCAGACTTGTTATTCCCGACTTCGAGCAGCACAGCTCTACCGTCGAGGTTCAAGAGACAGTGCCTTCTCCCAAAGTGGACAAGCGAAATGCAGAACGGTGGATAACGCACACTTTTAAACAAGAAGAGCTCCGTTCAGAACTGCCGCCTCCAGTCAACAAGCTGCCAACAGACAAAGTGCAATTCCTTCAAGACCAAGAAACGCAGAGAGTTGACAAGGCCAACTTCTCCACACCAGGAAGGATAATCATTCCCGATTTCAGTCAGGACAGCTCAACCTTACAAACACAACAAACATCTCCGCCTCCAAAACTGGACAAACGCAAAGCCGAAGAGTGGATAACACACACAATAAAACACGAAGAGCTAAGATCAGAGCCGCCTCCACCAACCAACAAGCTGTCGGCACATAAAGTGCAATTTCTGCAAACACAAGAAACACAGCCAGCCACAAAAGTCGACGGCCCCTCACCAGGCAGACTGGTCATTCCCGATTTCGACAAGCAAAGCTCTACCTTCAAGGTGGACGAAAAGCCGCCGCCTCCCAAAACAGAGAAACTTCATGCCGAACAGTGGAGAACAACTACCATTAGGCAAGAAGACCTGCGTTCAGAAATGCCTGCACCCGCAAATAAGCTGACAGCAGATAAACTACATTTTCTTCAAAAACAAGATACGCAACCAGCTGCAAAGGCTGATGGAGTGTCGCCAGGCAGACTTGTTATTCCCGACTTCGAGCAGCACAGCTCTACCGTCGAGGTTCAAGAGACAGTGCCTTCTCCCAAAGTGGACAAGCGAAATGCAGAACGGTGGATAACGCACACTTTTAAACAAGAAGAGCTCCGTTCAGAACTGCCGCCTCCAGTCAACAAGCTGCCAACAGACAAAGTGCAATTCCTTCAAGACCAAGAAACGCAGAGAGTTGACAAGGCCAACTTCTCCACACCAGGAAGGATAATCATTCCCGATTTCAGTCAGGACAGCTCAACCTTACAAACACAACAAACATCTCCGCCTCCAAAACTGGACAAACGCAAAGCCGAAGAGTGGATAACGCACACAATAAAACACGAAGAGCTAAGATCAGAGCCGCCTCCACCAACCAACAAGCTGTCGGCACATAAAGTGCAATTTCTGCAAACACAAGAAACACAGCCAGCCACAAAAGTCGACGGCCCCTCACCAGGCAGACTGGTCATTCCCGATTTCGACAAGCAAAGCTCTACCTTCAAGGTGGACGAAAAGCCGCCGCCTCCCAAAACAGAGAAACTTCATGCCGAACAGTGGATAACAACTACCATTAGGCAAGAAGACCTGCGTTCAGAAATGCCTGCACCCGCAAATAAGCTGACAGCAGATAAACTACATTTTCTTCAAAAACAAGATACGCAACCAGCTGCAAAGGCTGATGGAGTGTCGCCAGGCAGACTTGTTATTCCCGACTTCGAGCAGCACAGCTCTACCGTCGAGGTTCAAGAGACAGTGCCTTCTCCCAAAGTGGACAAGCGAAATGCAGAACGGTGGATAACGCACACTTTTAAACAAGAAGAGCTCCGTTCAGAACTGCCGCCTCCAGTCAACAAGCTGCCAACAGACAAAGTGCAATTCCTTCAAGACCAAGAAACGCAGAGAGTTGACAAGGCCAACTTCTCCACACCAGGAAGGATAATCATTCCCGATTTCAGTCAGGACAGCTCAACCTTACAAACACAACAAACATCTCCGCCTCCAAAACTGGACAAACGCAAAGCCGAAGAGTGGATAACGCACACAATAAAACACGAAGAGCTAAGATCAGAGCCGCCTCCACCAACCAACAAGCTGTTGGCACATAAAGTGCAATTTCTGCAAACACAAGAAACACAGCCAGCCACAAAAGTCGACGGCCCCTCACCAGGCAGACTGGTCATTCCCGATTTCAACAAGCAAAGCTCTACCTTCAAGGTGGACGAAAAGCCGCCGCCTCCCAAAACAGAGAAACTTCATGCCGAACAGTGGATAACAACTACCATTAGGCAAGAAGACCTGCGTTCAGAAATGCCTGCACCCGCAAATAAGCTGACAGCAGATAAACTACATTTTCTTCAAAAACAAGATACGCAACCAGCTGCAAAGGCTGATGGAGTGTCGCCAGGCAGACTTGTTATTCCCGACTTCGAGCAGCACAGCTCTACCGTCGAGGTTCAAGAGACAGTGCCTTCTCCCAAAGTGGACAAGCGAAATGCAGAACGGTGCATAACGCACACTTTTAAACAAGAAGAGCTCCGTTCAGAACTGCCGCCTCCAGTCAACAAGCTGCCAACAGACAAAGTGCAATTCCTTCAAGACCAAGAAACGCAGAGAGTTGACAAGGCCAACTTCTCCACACCAGGAAGGATAATCATTCCCGATTTCAGTCAGGACAGCTCAACCTTACAAACACAACAAACATCTCCGCCTCCAAAACTGGACAAACGCAAAGCCGAAGAGTGGATAACGCACACAATAAAACACGAAGAGCTAAGATCAGAGCCGCCTCCACCAACCAACAAGCTGTCGGCACATAAAGTGCAATTTCTGCAAACACAAGAAACACAGCCAGCCACAAAAGTCGACGGCCCCTCACCAGGCAGACTGGTCATTCCCGATTTCGAGAAGCAAACCTCTACCTTCAAGGTGGACGAAAAGCCGCCGCCTCCCAAAACAGAGAAACTTCATGCCGAACAGTGGATAACAACTACCATTAGGCAAGAAGACCTGCGTTCAGAAATGCCTGCACCCGCAAATAAGCTGACAGCAGATAAACTACATTTTCTTCAAAAACAAGATACGCAACCAGCTGCAAAGGCTGATGGAGTGTCGCCAGGCAGACTTGTTATTCCCGACTTCGAGCAGCACAGCTCTACCGTCGAGGTTCAAGAGACAGTGCCTTCTCCCAAAGTGGACAAGCGAAATGCAGAACGGTGGATAACGCACACTTTTAAACAAGAAGAGCTCCGTTCAGAACTGCCGCCTCCAGTCAACAAGCTGCCAACAGACAAAGTGCAATTCCTTCAAGACCAAGAAACGCAGAGAGTTGACAAGGCCAACTTCTCCACACCAGGAAGGATAATCATTCCCGATTTCAGTCAGGACAGCTCAACCTTACAAACACAACAAACATCTCCGCCTCCAAAACTGGACAAACGCAAAGCCGAAGAGTGGATAACGCACACAATAAAACACGAAGAGCTAAGATCAGAGCCGCCTCCACCAACCAACAAGCTGTCGGCACATAAAGTGCAATTTCTGCAAACACAAGAAACACAGCCAGCCACAAAAGTCGACGGCCCCTCACCAGGCAGACTGGTCATTCCCGATTTCGAGAAGCAAACCTCTACCTTCAAGGTGGACGAAAAGCCGCCGCCTCCCAAAACAGAGAAACTTCATGCCGAACAGTGGATAACAACTACCATTAGGCAAGAAGACCTGCGTTCAGAAATGCCTGCACCCGCAAATAAGCTGACAGCAGATAAACTACATTTTCTTCAAAAACAAGATACGCAACCAGCTGCAAAGGCTGATGGAGTGTCGCCAGGCAGACTTGTTATTCCCGACTTCGAGCAGCACAGCTCTACCGTCGAGGTTCAAGAGACAGTGCCTTCTCCCAAAGTGGACAAGCGAAATGCAGAACGGTGGATAACGCACACTTTTAAACAAGAAGAGCTCCGTTCAGAACTGCCGCCTCCAGTCAACAAGCTGCCAACAGACAAAGTGCAATTCCTTCAAGACCAAGAAACGCAGAGAGTTGACAAGGCCAACTTCTCCACACCAGGAAGGATAATCATTCCCGATTTCAGTCAGGACAGCTCAACCTTACAAACACAACAAACATCTCCGCCTCCAAAACTGGACAAACGCAAAGCCGAAGAGTGGATAACGCACACAATAAAACACGAAGAGCTAAGATCAGAGCCGCCTCCACCAACCAACAAGCTGACGGCACATAAAGTGCAATTTCTGCAAACACAAGAAACACAGCCAGCCACAAAAGTCGACGGCCCCTCACCAGGCAGACTGGTCATTCCCGATTTCGAGAAGCAAACCTCTACCTTCAAGGTGGACGAAAAGCCGCCGCCTCCCAAAACAGAGAAACTTCATGCCGAACAGTGGATAACAACTACCATTAGGCAAGAAGACCTGCGTTCAGAAATGCCTGCACCCGCAAATAAGCTGACAGCAGATAAACTACATTTTCTTCAAAAACAAGATACGCAACCAGCTGCAAAGGCTGATGGAGTGTCGCCAGGCAGACTTGTTATTCCCGACTTCGAGCAGCACAGCTCTACCGTCGAGGTTCAAGAGACAGTGCCTTCCCCCAAAGTGGACAAGCGAAATGCAGAACAGTGGATAACGCACTTTTTTAAACAAGAAGAGCTCCGTTCAGAACTGCCGCCTCCAGTCAACAAGCTGCCAACAGACAAAGTGCAATTCCTTCAAGACCAAGAAACGCAGAGAGTTGACAAGGCCAACTTCTCCACACCAGGAAGGATAATCATTCCCGATTTCAGTCAGGACAGCTCAACCTTACAATCACAACAAACATCTCCGCCTCCAAAACTGGACAAACGCAAAGCCGAAGAGTGGATAACGCATACAATCAAACACGAAGAGCTAAGATCAGAGCCGCCTCCACCAACCAACAAGCTGTCGGTACATAAAGTGCAATTTCTGCAAACACAAGAAACACAGCCAGCCACAAAAGTCGACGGCCCCTCACCAGGCAGACTGGTCATTCCCGATTTCGACAAGCAAAGCTCTACCTTCAAGGTGGACGAAAAGCCGCCGCCTCCCAAAACAGAGAAACTTCATGCCGAACAGTGGATAACAACTACCATTAGGCAAGAAGACCTGCGTTCAGAAATGCCTGCACCCGCAAATAAGCTGACAGCAGATAAACTACATTTTCTTCAAAAACAAGATACGCAACCAGCTGCAAAGGCTGATGGAGTGTCGCCAGGCAGACTTGTTATTCCCGACTTCGAGCAGCACAGCTCTACCGTCGAGGTTCAAGAGACAGTGCCTTCTCCCAAAGTGGACAAGCGAAATGCAGAACGGTGGATAACGCACACTTTTAAACAAGAAGAGCTCCGTTCAGAACTGCCGCCTCCAGTCAACAAGCTGCCAACAGACAAAGTGCAATTCCTTCAAGACCAAGAAACGCAGAGAGTTGACAAGGCCAACTTCTCCACACCAGGAAGGATAATCATTCCCGATTTCAGTCAGGACAGCTCAACCTTACAAACACAACAAACATCTCCGCCTCCAAAACTGGACAAACGCAAAGCCGAAGAGTGGATAACGCACACAATAAAACACGAAGAGCTAAGATCAGAGCCGCCTCCACCAACCAACAAGCTGTTGGCACATAAAGTGCAATTTCTGCAAACACAAGAAACACAGCCAGCCACAAAAGTCGACGGCCCCTCACCAGGCAGACTGGTCATTCCCGATTTCAACAAGCAAAGCTCTACCTTCAAGGTGGACGAAAAGCCGCCGCCTCCCAAAACAGAGAAACTTCATGCCGAACAGTGGATAACAACTACCATTAGGCAAGAAGACCTGCGTTCAGAAATGCCTGCACCCGCAAATAAGCTGACAGCAGATAAACTACATTTTCTTCAAAAACAAGATACGCAACCAGCTGCAAAGGCTGATGGAGTGTCGCCAGGCAGACTTGTTATTCCCGACTTCGAGCAGCACAGCTCTACCGTCGAGGTTCAAGAGACAGTGCCTTCTCCCAAAGTGGACAAGCGAAATGCAGAACGGTGGATAACGCACACTTTTAAACAAGAAGAGCTCCGTTCAGAACTGCCGCCTCCAGTCAACAAGCTGCCAACAGACAAAGTGCAATTCCTTCAAGACCAAGAAACGCAGAGAGTTGACAAGGCCAACTTCTCCACACCAGGAAGGATAATCATTCCCGATTTCAGTCAGGACAGCTCAACCTTACAAACACAACAAACATCTCCGCCTCCAAAACTGGACAAACGCAAAGCCGAAGAGTGGATAACGCACACAATAAAACACGAAGAGCTAAGATCAGAGCCGCCTCCACCAACCAACAAGCTGTCGGCACATAAAGTGCAATTTCTGCAAACACAAGAAACACAGCCAGCCACAAAAGTCGACGGCCCCTCACCAGGCAGACTGGTCATTCCCGATTTCGAGAAGCAAACCTCTACCTTCAAGGTGGACGAAAAGCCGCCGCCTCCCAAAACAGAGAAACTTCATGCCGAACAGTGGATAACAACTACCATTAGGCAAGAAGACCTGCGT